TATATACACTGTATATATAAACATCAGACAACATCAGACATCTCAGTCCAGAAATGTGCAGTTCTAGGCACAGCTAAGATACTGCGCAGAACCCTCAAGCTCCCAGGCCTCTGGTAGAGGACCCGAGCTCAGAGGATGAAAGAGACCACCCGCCGAGGGTGAGAAGGGAATTTATATCATGTTTAACCTTTGGCTTAACCTAACCTGTAGAAAACTTGAAGTAAATACATTCTTCCTCGTCTAGAACTTTATTGACTCACACCTACAGCATTATAGCAGAGTAAAGTTTTAAAGCAAAGAGAAAACAGAGTTTTGTTTGTTTTTTTATGATTTGWAATAAAGTTTTGGACCACTTCAAACTTGGATTTTATAAACTATCTGTGGGGAAACCGTTAGTCTGCACACCATGGTGGTATAACAAGATGTCCTTACAAGGTAAACATAGGAGATGAAAACCCATCAGTACTTATTAAGTGTGCATCGATACAGAAAATTCATGATTTGGTTTGATACTTTAGTCTTGTGGTACAATATATTTTTCGATATAAAAAAGAGAAATGTCCATGCCCTTCTTAACTTGTAATTTATTGAAATTAAACATTTGTTTAACCTCAAAAGTACAGTGTATAAATTAAATGTTGCTGAAACAGCAAGTTTCTCAGTGGATCTGTGCTCGACAATGCAGCRTAGGWGGAGTAGTCGAACACAGATCCACTGATCCTTCAACACAGAGCATTTTTCTGAAGACAGGTTGATAAAAAAAAATCTCAAAATTTGTTCCATACATAGTGTGTGTTGAACAGTTTGATACAGATACATGTATTGTTGCACCCCTAATATTTATGTGTTTTCACGAATCTAAAGCCCTGAGGATTGTTTCAAGACTGTTGAAGTTTTGAAATTCATATTTTTTAATCCTTATTTTCCAGAAATATATCATACAATCCCATCCTGGAGCTTCAGCTTGACCACTTCGACAAGTTATACAAATTAAAATCATTGTAAGTACATTTTTTAATATATTTCTGACAAACTTGGTGCTCAAGACGCAGAAAGAAATATTTAGTTTAAAAAAGAGATTGTGCTTTTCAAGTTTCACATTAACCGTATGCCTGAATTTAAAATCCAATCTGTTTTGTTTTGTTTTATTCTCAGGAGCATAGAGGGGATAGAAATTGCGAACATTCACCGAAGGATGTTTGAGCCTCTGAAATACTTGACTCACATGTAAGTGTTTGATTGTTTCTGCTCTGTAGAAACCATCTCTGTTTCACATATTCAGAACCTGTAAGAATGACTCAGCTTCACGTTCACCTGGGACATAATTAAGTCAGGTTTAGTGTAATCCATCCTCTCTGTGGCTTAAAGAGATAAAAACACGACACAAATTACAAAGATGTGTTAATTTTGAAATACTTTATTTTGCTGCATTTAATCATGAATACAACAGAACCCTGTGTAATGAATGTATAGTGATAAAACAATCTCAAAAACAAAAAGAGCACAATACGCCTCCTGTTTAACAGATATTTTTTGACATCTCTTTTAAACCAATTTTATCTTCACTTTCACAGTTCTTCAACTGCCTTCACTAAACTGTCTTGGATGTTCGTAGAAATGCTTTTTACCAGCTTCTAGACAAGATTTTGACGTTTCTGTAGAGACAACCTGTCTGTGTCTAACTAAAAGAACTTAGACTAATTAAAGTAGAAAAACTGGGGGTTTGGGCTTAAGAAATGACTGAACCAATTGGTGGGCCGAAATTTGGGCACTCTCCTGCCARGTCCAGCCCGTAGGCCACCAGTTGAATCGCCCTGATTTAGTAGCTGAACTGATTGATGATTTAGTATTAATGAAATCTTGGTTTAGAATAAAGACATTGAAGAATACGATGATGATGCTTTTATTGTCATTGTACAGTGAATTTTAATAGGCTTTAGAGAAGGGTGGGGTTAACTAAGTTTTTACTTTGCATTTCTTTTTCAAATATGTTAATTTGTTTTTTGTTTTTTTTCCCATTTGTGTTTAAACTAAACTAAACTAAACTAATCTAAAAAAAAGTTGGGGCTAGATGACCATCTGCAGCAGATGACTGATATTTGAAAGTCATGTTTTAAAGAAATAAGAGGGAAAATCCATCACGGACCCAACACAGGACCCCAGAATTGATCTGACTTGTCCAAACCTCTCAGAGCAAAGGAAGGCCAATGGATCACTTATGTCACTCCTAAACAAATGATTCAGTCTGTGAATTAACTTAGACGCCTCTTTTTATTGGAAAAYACTCTGCTGACGATCTGATAAGGATAATGAAATGTGCCCACCCCACCCCCACCCCCGTCATGGTAATTGTCCCACATCCTCCTCAAACAGCTTTTATGTTCTGACTTGATTTTGTAATTCTTCATCAACAAATCATGAATGGTAAAAAAAAAAAAAAGGCAGAGTTATAAATGTGGATCCCTCAAAAGTTAAATTAGAAATTGATTTTTTTATATATGCAGGATAGCTTCTTCATTTTTATCTTTTATGAATGAATGAATGAATGTTTCTCTGAGTGTGGAGAAGAAAAGAAGCATTTCCTCTCAAAATTAAAGCACTACATCTTTTCTTCAATCTTTAATTATCTGTCTATAATTATATAATATAATGGACTCCTTTCTGTTCTTAAATCTTCCTCTTTTATCTCTTTTTGTAGCTATTTTAAGAAGTTCCAGTACTGCGGTTATGCGCCTCACGTTCGCAGCTGTAAACCCAACACAGATGGCATCTCGTCCTTTGAGGACCTGCTGGCCAACATCGTGCTGAGGGTCTTCGTTTGGGTCGTTTCGGCCACCACCTGCTTCGGCAACGTCTTCGTTATCTGCATGCGCTCCTACATCCGCTCCGAGAACAAACTGCACGCCATGTGCATCATCTCCCTCTGCTGTGAGTCCAACTGCAGATTCAGCARGAGGGAAGTGTTACTGATGTGATTTTTTTTCTTTTTAAGTCAACCTCTGTTGCCTGTTGATGAAGCTGTAGAAGCTTTACTGGGGAGAAGTTTAAATTGGGATGTGAATTCTCTGCCAACATTGATYCTTTTGCCTGTGTATGTGCATCTGTACATGTGATTATGTCTCTGTCTGTTAGCGAAATATCTCATGAACCACTGAATGGATTTTTATGAAACTTTCAWAWATATATATTTGRARGTCTACAGCTGATTAGGTTTTGGAATCAGACCGACTCAAAGTAAATGCCATAGACAACTCTAATTAGATAACACAGAAATGGCTGTAAATCAAGTCATGCCACAGAGACTGACCTAAAATTTGGCGAGGTAAAAGCTGAGATTGATCCTCACAGCCGGCTTAGATGTTATCAGTTCATTAAATGGACATTTTTAGCAGTTATCAGTCCCATAGAATGGCTTCAGACTGTTCCGACAGTGCCATATATGTTGGAATGCAACAATCTGCTACCACTGGAGTCCAGTCTGCTTTATCGTAGCCCATGTAATTTTCTCTAAAACTAACCTTGGTGGCTTTATGCCTCAAATTAACCAGATTGTATAAAAAACCTTAGTGGCTTTATGCCTCGTATTAACCAGATTGGTTAAAAAACCTTAGTGGCTTTATGCCTCAAATTAACCAGATTGTATAAAAAACCTTAGTGGCTTTATGCCTCGTATTAACCAGATTGGTTAAAAAACCTTAGTGGCTTTATGCCTCAAATTAACCAGATTGTATAAAAAACCTTAGTGGCTTTATGCCTCAAATTAACCAGATTGTATAAAAAAAACCTTAGTGGCTTTATGCCTCATATTAACCAGATTGTATAAAAAACCTTAGTGACTTTATGCCTCAAATTAACCAGATTGTATAAAAAACCTTAGTGGCTTTATGCCTCAAATTAACCAGATTGTATAAAAAAAACCTTAGTGGCTTTATGCCTCACACTAATCAGCTGACAGTCTGAAGCCATTTATTGGCACGGAGAACCCACTAGGCGGCACAGTCGGGACAGTCTGAAGCCATTCTATGGGACTGATAATGGCTAATAACGTCCATTTAATGGATGATAACATCCGAAGCGGGTGGATCCTATTTGGAGTCAATTCTGTTGCCAGCAAAAAAATCTCATAAAATACTGGATAAAGCATAATTCAATTTAAAAAAGAAATCACTGGGTGTACATCTGATAAACTTTTAGCATTAYCTTTAAAAGTTCATGTTTTGCAGACCGTAAGAACAAATTTCAGTAACCTACACGTTTTTGTTGACTGAAAGCAAACCCAAGCTTWAAAAGGCTCAAAAGAATTGAAATTGTCTTTAAATCTCTTCATCCTTTTCACAGCAATGGATTATGTGACTTTATGCAAACAGGACTCGGGTTTAAAAAGCTTCTAATCTGGTTATTAAAGGGATGAAACAGGTTTAAGTTCCTAAACAAACTCTAAACACACATTTTGAGTCAAGAATCAGAACAAAAATTAACTTTAAAGACTAATTTATTGTTTATGCAACACAAATCATTTTATTCTCTGTATTTACTCATTTGTTCTTAAAGCATGTTTTATTTTTTACTTGCTTCTAAATGAAAAGAATGTGTGCATGTGTCTGTTTATTCATTTGTCTGTCTGTTAGTAAAATATTATGGAGGACCAAAACTGTCACAATTAAAAATAAAAGCAGAAATATATGAATGGACCAATAAATAAATAAATAAATACACTTCAAATGCACAAACTAAATAAAAAAGGGCAAAGGCCTTTTTAGATCTCATTGACTTACGAGCTCCTGGTTTCACACCACCTGCAGAACTGTTTTGGACTCTGTGGCTCCACTAAAAACCAGGCAGCCTAAAACCAGATCAGAGCTCTGGTTAAATGATGAGACTCGTGCTGTCAGATGTGAGTGCTGGAGAGCTGAGTGCAAGTGGAAAAAGGACAAGTTGGAGGTGTCATTTCAAATTTTAAAGGATTGCTGGCATCAAAATCAAAGATCTGTCAAAAGATGCTAAAAGAAAACACTTCTCAGATTTAAAAARGTCAAATCGTCACAATCCTTGTTTTATTCAAAACCATTGATGCTGTCTTAAACCCTCCACAGACTGTCTGTATTGAGCCATCCCCTGCTGCTTGTGAGAATTTTCTTGTGACGTCTGGTGGCATCCAGCATCACAACTTGACGCTGCTGTTTTTTATTGCATTCATAAATGCTAGCATTATAAAACAGTTTCAGCTTAGACATTTCTAAATGTTGCTTATTGCTACCTTTTTTTTCACCATCTGCTTGTATGTCAAAGCTCGTACAGAAAGTGATGACTTCTGATTTTTTTCCCCACAAACCCCGTTTTTATGGTGATTYAAAAAGATTTTTGGCCTGTTTTTTGTTCTCAAATGCCCCCGTYAATGTCGAGTTGAGTCCAGGAGACTGGAAGCAAAGCAAAAAACACAGCTCGTCTCGTTTTGAATTCTGTTTGTGTTCCTTGCAGGTGCAGATGGGCTGATGGGTATTTACCTCTTCATGATCGGTGCATACGACCTGAAGTTTCGAGGCGAGTACAACCGGCACGCTCAGGCCTGGATGGACAGCAGTCAGTGTCAGGTCATTGGATCTCTGGCCATGCTGTCCACTGAAGTCTCCGTCCTGCTACTCACTTACCTCACTCTGGAGAAATACATCTGCATCGTGTATCCTTTCCACTACTTGACTCCCGGCTGGCGACGGACCGTCTCCATCCTGCTCGGYATATGGGTGTTTGGTTTTATAATAGCCTTTCTGCCTCTGGCCTGCAAGGGATTGTTTCGTAACTTCTATGGGACAAATGGAGTCTGTTTCCCTTTGCACTCTGAGCAGCCGGAGACGCCTTGGGCTCACGTTTACTCCATTGTCATTTTCCTTGGTGAGGATTTGTCCACTTCTTTCTTCTTTTGTTGTGTGAACACTAGCTATGTTTACATGCGCAAAATTCTTTGATCGGATTGAAACGTATTCGGATTAAATAATCGGGATGTATCGTTTACATGTGCACAATCAATCATGATGAGTGTTTACATGCATCAGGCTTTTATTCAGAATAGAAGCATTTACATGCGCAGTTGCTAACTTTCKCTTTAAAAAATCACAGAAAAAAGTTCTACTTTCGTCATGAACATAAACAAACAGCTTCTGAGCTCAGAATGGACCTGCGACAGGTTTTAATCATGGTGGAGATGTTACTATACTCTCTGGCTCAGCTGCTGGTGATGCACAGACTTTGTTTTTTGCAAAGTGGCACAGGCTGTGTGTCTTCTGTGGAGCCCATAAGGGGACGTGACACATTTTTATTCTGAATGGCCGTTTAATCTGATTATTTATGTCCATGTAAATGTAGCTACTGATTCAACATTAAAGGCACAGTGTGTAGGATTTTGTCAAGTCTTTTAGCCGAAATTGAGATAATCACTAATGGCAATAATAAAAAAAAAACATGTCTAATCATTGCAGACAAAGACCTTGTTTTATTATTTTTACCTTATAAAAAGCTGTTTATATCTCCATGGTCGCGGGTCGCCACTACAGGCAGCCGCCATCTTGCACCGCCATCTTGTCTACGAAGGCTCATGAAGGACAGACTGCGGTGGCGGCCTCAAAAGCGGTTTTAGTTGTAATACTATAAATGTAATATTTGTTGTCTGTCATTGTAGCTGGGATAATTTTACTTATTAAAGCTCATAATCTTACCACTTGAAACATCACTAGCCCTGAAGCTGCTGGTAGACATCGCGGTTGGAATTATCAAAGGTTTTTGACACCTGAGAGACACCGTAGCAATTCCTTTGCGTTTGGAAGCGGGGGGTGGGGGTGGGGGGAGGACCAGGGAGGATGATTCAACCACTCAACTACTAGATGTCATTGAAAACAACAAATCCTACACACTGTGCCTTTAACACTATTATTTTACTCGTGGTTTTGTTTATTATGCACGCATTTTTTGGCAATATATTTGCCTCTGCATATTTTATGCTACTTTAGCCATACGTATATCAAAACCATGTTTTTGTTTGTTTGTTTGTAGTTTTGTGTTTTGGTTTTGGCTAGCTTATTAGATTTTAGCAACTTTCTGCTATTTTATAGCTTGTGTTCTGCACCTTTCAGCTTTGAATACTCAGTTTTAGCTTCTTCAGCAGATTTTAGGAAAGTCATAGCCTGGCGCTTGCCTTCCTACAGTTCCGCTCAGTTCTTTTCCCTTCTCTGTTCTGTCTGGGATTGCTCCCATAGACAAGGATTGCTCTGGTAGAATTTCTACTGGGCCAATCAGAGAACAGAAGGAGGAGTTGTGAATGATGAACTCATTCTTCTGCACTGTTTTAGCCTGTAGTTTATCAATGGCAGCAGAGGAAGTGAATGAAGCTAGTCTGTGTTGACAATCCCAATTAAACTAAATTAAATTAAATTAGTCTCAAAACCTGCAGCTCTCATTTACAGCCATCTTATTCAGCTCAGTACTTCTCTCCTCCCAGTAGGGGATGGTTGTTTACAGCACACGCAATTTCTGGTTAGCTTCTTAGCTTAGCTTCCTTCACGGTTGAGCTGGAGCTCTACATAGGTTACGGCCAAATGTTAACGACTGGTTCAACCAGATCCAGTTGTTTTAAACTTCAGCAAAGTCCTCTCCTCCAACAAGAAATGGTTTCTCAATAACCAAATTTCCAGACCCTCATTACGAAGCAAAACGTAGAACAAGGGGCTGGTTTTTARCAGGCTAGGAAATTCCTTCAGTACTTTGCATTCTTGCTGCACATTTGCAGGAAAGACTATTCCTTCAGTTTTTTGTGGTTCCTTCTTATTTCTAAAACATTAAATAAATACTGTATATTTGCCGTTTTTAACCACTGCAGTCAGATCCAGAGCTTTGTCATAATTGTTCGAAAAACTTCCAAAATATAGAAACTAATCAAAATTCTTTCCACAGGTCTCAATTTGGTGGCCTTCCTGATCATTGTCTTCTCTTATGCAAGCATGTTTTATAACATCCAAAGAACAGGCACCCAGACCACCAAGTACAGCAACCACATCAAAAAGGAGGTGACCATCGCCAAAAGGTTCTTCTCCATCGTCATCACCGATTCCCTCTGCTGGATCCCCATTTTCATCCTCAAGATCCTGTCACTGATGCACGTGGAGATTCCCGGTAAAGTAAAGCGGCTACAACTAATAAACGCAAAACTACTTTAAAACCAACACTTTACCCAAATAAATGTCATAGTTGCCAGGAAAAAACTGACGGTTTTCACCAGCGACAGAGCAAATACAAATTCTATTTTGTAAGGTGAGGCCCTGTAGCCTGGCCCTTACCTTCCTACACAGTTCCACTTGATTCTAATCTCCCTATTCTGCACTGCCTGGGATTTTTCCCATAGACAAGGAGTTCTCAGGTAGAATTTCAACCGGGATAAGAGAAGGAGTTGTGAATAACGTTGATTTTCTGCACCGTTTTAGTCTGCCTGTAGTTTATCAGTGGCAGAGGAGGAAGTGAATGAAGCCAGTCCGTGTTGACAAGGCTTCCAAATTAATTTAAATTTGTCTCACAGAGCCTGCAGCACTCATTTACAGCCATCTCGTTTGGCTTGGTATCTCTCTCTTCCCAGTAGGGGATGGTTGTTCACAGCGCACACAATTTCCGGTTAGCTTCTTAGCTTATCTTCTTCCATGGTKAAGCTGTCCCTCTACATAGTCACGGCCAAATGTTAGCGATTGGGTAAATCAGATCCAATCGTTTTAAACTTCAACAGAGTCCACGCCTCCGGCAAGCAATAATTTCTCAATAGCTAAGAGTCCAGACTGTCTGGACGAAGCAAAGCAAAGAACATGGAGCTGTTTTTTTTACCAGGCTGGAGGCCCTGTGATCCCAAACCAGTATCAAACATCTGGGGCTCTTCTCTGAGCTACGAACAGATAGCACTGACTGTTTTCAAATCTAAAACCAAGGCTCCATTGGCTCAAACTGCTGCTATCAAGACAACAAACCTCTAAACTGATATTTTAAATGTTTTTTTTTTTGTATGTGTTTGTCGTATTCTCAGGAGGTCAAAAATATAAGACCATACGAAGCAACAGTTTTCAGTGTGCTGGGTAAGCATAAAAAGATAGCTATTATATAACATGCCGGATTGCCATTGTAAACTGTACAAAACTAAAACCTAAATGCAGTGGTGGGCACAGTTCCTCTAAAGCACTAACAGGGGAAATAATTTCCTGATTAGTGCTTTAGGGCATTTGCTAATTTGAAAATTTATTAGTGGATTAGCACTTGCTAAATTTATAGGCTAAATTTAGAAGCACTAAATGAGGTTTAAAAGTGTTATTGATCAACGGTGAATGTTGTCACATTTTGATTATGTGTCACTTAACCGCTAGGTGACAATATACAGTATGAACCCAAACACGGCTGTGGAATGTCAATGATAAGTCTTAAAAGAGCAACATGGCAAAATGTGACTCGTTGTCTGTTGAAGAATGTTCATGGCTTCATTGGGTTATTTTAGTGC